CACACACACACACACACACACACACACACACAGGGTGTTTTTAAGCTGCCAGGCCACGATTCGAGCCACGGTCAGCTATGAGGGAGCCAGCTCCCCTTGACTTCTGTGCTCGAGGTCTGGCCCATCCATTCGACTGTTGGTAGATATTTGGGTTGTTTGAAGTTTCTGTCTACAATGTTCAGATTGTTCTTGATTTGGCTTGTGGTAGCCTTTCCATCAAGTCCTGTGTCCTTTGGACTCATTCCCATAATTTTTGGACACCTTGTTTTTTGGCCCACCATGAAGTCCTGGCAGCAAGAGACTCAAGCCAGGACAACCCCTTCCCGCAGGCCCACTGCCCTAATGGCCTCACACCCTAATAACCAGGTGGGCAAGGGCTTGGCTTTGTTGATGTGCCCAACATACGTGCTGGGCACATCAGTCAGTCCACAAGAGGGAGGGCTCCAAGAGCTGTGGGGGCGTGAGTGTCTGACCTGACCCTCTGCCTAGCTGTGTCCAGGCCTCTGTGGCCACTGGGAGAGGGCAAGACAAGAGGCAAGGCAGGCATGGGACACTAGAGGACACGGAGTGGACAGTCAAGAACTTATTTCAGGAAGGTGCAGGGGGTGGGGCCATCCATGAGCTGAGGCCCCAAGTACCAGGTGTATGCTCCATTGTCCCGTCAGACTTCACTTTTACAATGTAAATTCATGGGCCAGCAGTGGCATAGTGGTTAAGGCGCTGGAATCCCATATGGTTGACCGTGGTTCGAGTTCTAGACCCCGCAGCATAAAACTCATGCCAGGTGGATGTGTGTGCATACTCAAAATCCTAAGAGAATGGAGGAGAAGGGGTTGAAGCATGGCCTTCCCCCCTGGGGGGTGATTTCTCACTTTCTGTCTCTTGTCTCTCTGGTGACCACACATGACCTATAGCACAAATCTCTCTCTTGCAAAAACAAAAAGTAAATTTAAAGATAAAATGACTTGGCCGGTCCTGTGCCCTGGTTGTTAAGGGAGCTGGATCCCATATGGCCAACTGCACAGTTCAAATCCCAGCCCTGCCAGCTTGAAAAACACACTAGATGCATGTGCATGCCCCAATTCCTGACAGGATGGAGAAATAGAGAAGACATTGTGGCATTACCACACTCCACTGGGGGATGCTCTCTCTCTCTCTCTCCCTTGGTGAGCACGTGTGCCCTCTGGCAATAATAAAATAAAATAAAAGGATTGCGAATTTTACGATCATGACCACAGTATTAAACCTCAAGGGCACAGGGCCCTCAGGACTCCCCAGGCTGCGTGCCTGTGAAGCGGGACCTGGCCCATGTTCACATCTGTGACATCACAGAGCCACCATGGAGAGCAGGACAGGGCCTTTCATACCGAGCCCCCCCTGGCATCTGTGTGCAGCCACACCCCGGGTTTAGGCTGCTTTGACCTCTAGCACCATGCAGCAGTTTTGCTTGTCCGCGAACTTTGTATCAATAGATTCGTACAAGTATCATCTATCATGTTTGGCTCATTGTGTTCCTTGTTTTGACTGAGATTCACATACGTTGTTGCATATACCAGTAATTCTCTTTTACTGCTATGTGATAAGTACTCCACTCTTTGAATACATCACAATTTACCCATCCTACTGTGGTTTCTCTTCTTTGTTGTTTTCATTACCAGTGGGCATGTGTGCTTACCAGAGAAAGACAGAAAAAGCACCCCCCAATGGGCATGGTCACATCACAATCCTTTCTCCTCCGTTTCTCCTCTCTGCCAGGATTTTGGGGACACACGTACACACTGCCAGGACTGGGATTTGAACTGTGGTCAGCTATGAGGGAACCGGCTCTCCTTGACTGCTGTGCTCGAGGTCTGGCCTATCAATTCGACTGTTGGTAGATATTTGGGTTGTTTGCAGTTTCTGTCTACAATGTTCAGATTGTTCCTGAACTGGCTTGTGGTAGCCCTTCCCTCAGGTCCCGTGTCCTTTGGACTCATTCCCATCATTTTTGGACACTTTCTTATTTTTTGGCCCAACACGATGTTTTAGGTTCATCTTGTACTTTCCTTGCTTAGCCTTCGAACTGGCCTTTTCTCCAAGAAACCCTAGCTCCTTCTGGTGGGGGGAGGTAGTTAGAAATGAAATTCTGGGCAGTGGGGGTGCCTAGTCGTATTGGGATATCATTGCCTAGAAGCCTTTTCAGAAAACAATTAAAAGATAGATGATTTTTAAAGTCATAAATTCTTGTCATTACCTCTGATTCCAACCCAGTACCACAGGGTTCTCCCTCGCCCCCTCCCACAGTGGGAAGCCTCACCTGAAACATCAGTGTATCAGTTCCTATGCGGCATCCCTCCAGCCTTTGGCTAGATGTCCCATTGCCATTAAGCTATGGTTCCTAATAACGTCTGAGTGCTTGGACTGCCCTCTCTTGGGGAGACAGCTGCAGGCCCTTGAGTCAAGGCTATTTGCTGTTTCCTCTTTCTGTCCACCTTGTTCACACATGCATCTTAGTCCCTGCATGTCTCCCGGGTCAAATGGCAGGTGTCTCATTCCAGTGGGAGGAGGAGAGAATGGACACAGCCCATTTGCCCTGCCGGAGTCTTCTGTGTAAACGGTTTCTGCCCTCCTGGCTGTAGCACACGGAGGTAGACATTATTTGTCCCCTTTTACGCCGAGGATGCTATCTCACGGAATTAGCCAGGGGCTGTCTTGTTTCCATCTTGCGCTCCCCCAGTCTCAGTCCTAGGGGCGCGAAATGTCTGTTGCATGAACAACTGAATGAAGGGCAGTACTAAAATGCCTTCAGAATCTGGTTGTTCTCAACTTGTGCTCAAGAATGGACCTTATCGAATGCAGGTATCTGCATACGGTCGTATCCCGAGAGTCACTCTCTGGGCCTGGGCTTGGCCCTGGAACCTGCGGTTTATTTAGCACCACCGCCTTTTCCCCCAAGACAGTATGAAGCACGTTTCTCAGGGCACCTGTGGTTGCCTGATTATCCTTGGTCATACAGGGGAGCTCCAGGAGGGCCAGGCTTCTGTGTCTTTTCCCCTGCTGTGTCCGGGGAGTCTGGGCTCGTGCCTAGTTTGGATCAGGTGCTCCCTAAATAACTGCAAACGAACGAATGAGCCTAAGCTCACTTCAGCGGGCCCATCTCGCGGGGCTGCACTGCGCTGCAGAAGGGCAGCGTGCACAGGTGGAAGGAGCGGATGTGACCCGCGGGGTCAGGCAGTCCGGCCCCCTCCGCGGGCTGGGCGGGCGGGGCCTGGCGGCGCCATG